AGCTGTCAGCACAGAGCCCGATGCGGGGTTCAAACTCATGAACCAGGAGATGATGACCTAAGCTGAAGTCGGATGCTTAACAAACTGAGCCACCCAGGTGCCCCATTAATTCTTGATACGTATATATTTATCGCCGTTTTGTTACTTGTTTTGTGGTTATTTTTGTAGCTCTCTGATTCTTTATCCTCTTGCTCTCTTCTCACACAGTTTGCTCATTTTCTTTAGTGGTATACTCAGATTCCTTTCTCTTTATTTTTTGCTTATCTATTACTGGTTTTTTATTTGTGCTTATCATTAGGCTTGTATATAACATCTTCTGTATATGGCAGTCTATGTTAAGTTGATGGTCACTTAAGTTTGAACCCATTCATTACTCCTTTCCTTCCCACGTTTTAGGTATATAGTGTCACACTTTATATCTTTATTTTGTGACTCCCTTGACTGCATTTTACAGATATACTTCTTTTTACTGTCTGTGCTTCCTATTTTCTGTTACTTATGGCCTTTCCTTTCTATTCAAAGACTCTGCTTTAACATTTCCTGTAGGGTAGGCTTAGTGATCATGAACTCCTTTAGCCTTTGTTTGTGTGGGAAACTCTTTATCTCTCCTTATATACTGAATAATATCCTTGCCGGATAGAGTATTCTTGGCTGCCGATTTTTTTCTTTCAGCACTTTGAATATATCATGCCACTCCTATCTGATCTGCAAAGTTTCTGATGAAAAATCCTCTGATGGCCTCATAGGCTTCCCCTTTTTCTGCTCCTAAAATTCTTTTTCACTACTCTTTGCCGTTTTAATTACTATGTATGTATATATGTATCTTGGTGTGGACCACCTTGGGTTGGTTTTGATGGGGTCTCTGCCTCCTGCAACAGATATCAATCTGTTTCCTTCCCCAGATTAGGGAAGTTTTCAGCTCTTATTTTTACAAATAAATTTTCTGTAAAACCTTCTCTCTCTTCTTCTTCTGGGATCCCTACAATGGAAATGTTATTACACTTGATGGAGTTGCTGAGTTCCCTAAGTCTATTCTCATTTTGCGTGTTTTCCTTCCTCTCTCACCTGCTTAGCTCAACCGCTCTGCATTATTCTGTCCTCCAGGTCTCTAATTAGTTCTTCTGCTTCCTCTAGGCTGCTATTTATTCCATCTAGTTTATTTTTAGTTTCATTTATTATGCTCTTCATCTCTGATATGTTATTTTTAAACTCTTTAAGGGGCTCACTGATACCCTCCACATTTTTCTCAAGTCCTATGGGTGAAGTTATGATTATTACTTAAATTCTCTCTAAGGCATATTACTTACATCCATTTTGCTTAGATCTCTTGTTGTAGTTTTGTCCTGTTCTTTCATTTTGGACATATTCCTGTCTCCTCACTTTGTCGAATTCTCTCTGTCTGTTTCTGTGTGTTCGGGAAGCCAGCTACATCTCCTTCTCTTGAACCTGGTGCTTCAGGGGTATCTCCTATGTGTGCTGTGTGGGCTTTGCTGTTGAGTCTTGACTGCTTTTCTTTCAGTCCAGTCATCTGCAGTGGTTTTCTTTCCATGTTTGGGGCAGTGTTTTGTCTCTGTGGTGTTAGTGGACCAGTCTGGGGTCACCTTGGGTTCGAGCTGAGTCTGACCAGGCATTTGCCAGAGATGCAGTAGTAGCAAATTGCAGGGCACTTTCCCTGTAGTGTCCCCTAAGAAGTTTTCTTTGGTGAGTGGGGCCTACAATCTAACCCGCAGTGTGCCCCCAGCCCACTGCTGGGGCAGCCCTCTAACTGGCATGTGTGTTTATCTTCCTCTCATGCCAGGGCAGGAGTCACTTTGGAGTGATGCTGGCCCCTATTGGGGCTGCTTGCACACTGCCGGCCTCGGGGCCCCAATTTGAATGGGCTATGCCCAAGAGTTTTTTGGAACAGGCATGCCACTGCCACAGACATGGGACTGGCCAGGGTAGGATCCACAGTTTTAGTAAGGTGCATGCTGGTCTGCTTGCAAAATGAGACCTGCCACCACCACCACCTTTACAAAGCCAGATCTGCAAAGCATGTATGGGCAGGGCACACAGTTTCAATAAGGTGCCTGCCAGCCCTCTGTGGGACCCACTGCCACCACTCTGACTGCCAAAACTGGCCCGGGACCCTGCAAAACCTGTGGGGCGGAGGACTGGGCGTTGGCAAGGTTTGCACTGGTCTTCTGGGGGGAGGGGACCTGCAGTGCCAAGACTGAGGCAAGCGTAATTGGAAAGGGCAGATCTTCTGAAGCAGCATGGGAAGATGGGGGGGGGGTGGGGGCTGGTGGTGTGTATTAGCAAGTTAGGTAGTGAATCAGCACGGCATTGGTTCCTGCAGGTGGTTGCTGTTTATGTTGAGGGGCGGGGGAGGGAAATGGCACCTGCCAGTTCCTTTTTTTCTGGAGAAGTCCAATAGGGGAACACTTGTAAAGCTAATACTGTCCCTAACTAGCTATGTGACTTTACAACAACCACTTCCTTCAGCTCACTGGACTTCAATCTCCTTTTTCTGTAAAATGGAAAAGCACAATCAATGAGATGTTCTCAAAATAGTTTCCGTGCTGACATCCCATGTATATGACATTTCATACTACACAATATGCCCTCGCGGAAGAGGGAGGCCCTGTGGTCTGTTCTCTTTTCATAAAGGCACAGAAGTTAACCTTCATCTAAGTGACTCAGTGAGTGTATGGTAGATAAGAAACAGGTGATACGTATCTCTTCGGCCGATTATTACTCTGCAGAGCCTGAAAGAATCTGTGTGTGATTATAAGGTCTTGCCCCCCTCCCTTTTTTTTTGCACTGTACTTACACAGGAATTATAAATAAATGAACAAAAGGGATCCGAGAAGTGCAACCCTTCGAAAATTGTTCAGACGGAGACCGCCCAAATGAAAAACACATGCTATTTCCCCTCTGCCTGAGCAATTTGGCATTCCGCGTACAAGTTCCCAGGAGAGGGGCTGGGCCTCTCCAGGCAGGAACTGGAGCCAGAGGCTTCCCCTGCTACTCGCTGGGATAGGAGAACATCAGGAATGACTTTCAGTGCAGTAGTTCCTGTGGTGCTCGCAGAAGCCACGCGGCTTGGGTGCAATCAAACTGCAGCCCAGCCTCATCCCGGCAGGAATCCAGATGCGGGCCAAGTACAGCAGCACAAGGGACATGCTGGATGACGATGGGGACACCGTCGTGAGTGTGCATTCTCGAGCCTCGTCTCCAAGCCAGCAGCCAGAGGCTGGACGCAAAGGTATTCTGCCTCCCGGAGTGCCAATTGGCAAGACCCTTGGGCGATGCATAGGATGAGCTCTCTCTCTGGGGAATGCGCCACATGAGGGAAAGAGAAAGCGTTTCCATGATTGATAATTACCTGTCACTGTGCACTTTCCACAACCTGCGTGCCTCGTATATGAACGTCTGAAAAACTAAGCTCAGTACGAACAAAGATGTTTATGTTTCTAAGATTCTATCGTGAGCACAGTGGTTTGCAGTTAAGGGTGTATTGTGTTTACCAAGTAGGTATAAGTATACAAAGGTGAGATTGTATGTAGAATTAAAGCAGCATTCCTCCTCTTTCCCGGCTTCCCATGAAGGCCAAATCCAATGCTGTTCTATTTACCATCTGCGATCCGATCTGGGAATTCGCTGGTTTGGGACTCGTGGCTTTAGAAGGAGTTTTCCCAGCAGACACAGCAACCTGGGTATTTTGTCATAATTCTGCATCTTGAAGTTGTGAGGCCTCTGGAGAGTCATGTCAACATCAGGTGTTGGTTTTTATCATCTGTGAGATGAGGTGGGATTAAAGTAAATGCTTTCTAAGGTCCCCTTAGCTTAATTCGGTGATTCGATGATCTAAATAGCGGCCTCAGATACAATAACATCCCATTCCGTTCCCTTTTGTTCTACTTACTACCAGAATATTACTGAGATGGTTGAAGTGAATTATAAAAATATTTAATCTTAGTTACATTTCTACCTTTGTTAAGTTTCTACCGTATGCTTCTATTTCCAATAACTCACTTTCTGACATAGCAATAAAAATATTTTTTTTCAGTCCATAGAATTCATATACAGAGAGAAGGATCTTATATCCTGGGCAACTCAGTCAATGTAAGGCGAAATGTGACTTGAGTTCTAGTGGAAAGACCTCACAGTGTAACACAGAAACAGGTTCTTTTTTTGTTTTGTTTTTTTTGTTGTTGTTGTTGTTTTTAATATTTATTTATAGGAGACAGAGGGACAGAGTGCAAGCAGGGGAGGGGCAGAGAGAGAGAGAGAGGGAGAGAGGGAGAGAGGGAGAGAGATACAGAATCTGAAGCAGACTCCAGGCTCTGAGCTGTCAACACAGAGTCCGATGTGGGGCTCAAACCCACAAAGCGGCAGGATCATGACCTGGGCCAAAGTGGGACGCTTAACTGACGGAGCCACCCGGGTGCCCCAGAGCCAGGTTCCAATATCAGCTGTGCTGCTTACAGACTGGGGTATTGGACAAGTTACTTAAGTATTCTGGGGCCTCAATTCCTTCATTTATAAAATGTTAGCGACAGTAAACACGTATACAGTGAGTGTTGTGTGCCTCAAAATATTTTAAGCACTTGTGTATATGAAACTTCTATTTTATAGAGTGGCTGGGGTTTAAGGTTGAGAAGTTATGTAAAGTCCTTGGCATACCACAGACATACCTGTGTGTTTCTTTTCAGTATGCCATTCCTTGAGAATTCCTAAGTGTTCTGTTTAACATTTTTGTGTTAGTCTGCATCAGAGAGATTCTTTTTTTTTTTTTTTTTTTTTT